GGGCAGTTAAGTTGTTGGGCCGGTCTGAGGTGTTGGCACAGGCCTGAAAAGTAAAGGGGTTTGGAAGGTTTGTAGGCAGAGTCCAGTTGGAAAAGGAGACCATCGCGGGTTTTATGTGGGGATCACAAGGAATTCCTGAAAAGCAATGGGTAGTGAAGAATTTAGGAAAAGTGGGAGAGTCAGAGGTAACAATAAGAAGACCAGGTGGGTTGCGTAGGGCTGCCCAGACAGGGATAGAGACCTCGGCTGCTTGAGTAGAATTGAGGGAAGTTACGGCACATATCATCAGGAACAGTTTGACAGGTTACTTTTTTAGGCGGGAGTGCTCTATAGGCATTGTTGCAAAGCACTTTGAGGGCTTCCCACATAATGGGAGCTGGGGGGATCGTAACTCGTTGTCGTCTCTTACATTGTGTCAGTCCGCTCCCTGGACATCTGTCGTCGAGAGCCAATTGTTTTATCTCTGATATCAGCGGCTGTGGCTGGTCGGACATCTCGAGCAGGAACCCACACTGGATGAGGTGCTGTTTCTGGAAAGGCACAAGCGAAACATCGGCCTTGGGTTAAGAGTGGGACTGGGGGATGCCATGATTGTGTCATGGGATCCTTCCAGCGCACAAGTGGGAGTGGTGTTGAGGGGCCAGCAATGGGCCCCAATGTTTATGGGCTGGGGAAAGATGTTTTTCATCGAAAGTTAAAAGATTTATTGTTGTAAGAGCTTTTGTTAGCAATTCATCCGGTGTGCTGCGGGGGGTGTAATTTTTTCTCTTTTTTAAATAAAGTTTTGAGTGGTGCGTTTTCTTTATGATAGCTTGTCCTTGAGGATTGTAGGGAATGCCATGATGTAAAGTTATGTTGTATTTGGCACATGTGGTTTTCAAAGTTTGACTAGTCTAACATGGTCTGTTATCTGTTTTTAGGTCCCAAGGGACCCCTAGCATGAGAATGGCCTTTTCTAGAGCGCGTGAGGCATGTTGTGTTGTTTCTCCCATCATGGCTATAGCCATGGTAGCTCCAGAGAAAGTATCTTTGGTTACATGAATGTATTTTAATTTACCGAATGGGGGAAAATGGGTGACATCCATTTGTCATCTGGCATTGGGACAGAGTCCTCGGGGGGTTATTCCCTGAGGTTGTAGTGGGCCAAGTGGGAGAAAGGGGGCACATGTGGTGCAACTATGGACCAGATGTTTACATGTAGCTTTAGGGACCTCTGGGAGAAGCTGATGAATGGCTTTGGCCGATAGGTGAAACCTGGAGTGAAGTGTTTTTGCTTGTAAAAGTGGGTCAGACAGGGCTGTTTGTATGGCTTGAATAGAGACTAGGCTGTCAGCTAGTTGGTTTTTTTTGGCAAGGGGACCAGGAAGTCCCATATGGGATCTGAGGTGTTGTGTATACCAAGGGTGTTTTCTATGTTGAAGGGTGTTTTGTAAGGTTTTTAAGGCTTTATCTAATATGGTATCTTTTTGTTTTAAGATGGCATGTGGGATGACATGGCATATCTGTATCACATATGGCTATCAGAGAAAATGTTGATAGAACAGTCTGGGCAGTGTTGTAAAACCTGTAACACTGTGAGAAGTTTAGCCACTTGGACAGAAAAATTATGTCTAGTAAGTTGTATTTTTGGGTAGTTCTAGTCATGAGGATGGTGAATTATAATAGCATATGTTGTTTTAGAAGCATCTATGAAAGCAACTCTGCTGTGAGGTATAGGGGTCGAGGAAGGAAAATGAGATGGCCTCATGAGTGGTAATTGATGGAGGCCTTGAAGGGTAGGGCTGGAAGGGTAATGATTGGAGGTTTGGCCAGGATAGTGTAATAGTAGGGTTTGAAGGTCCAAATTATGTGGCAAAAGAGCCCCAATTTGGTTATTAGTAAGAGGGAGGACAATGGTGTCTGGTTCGTGTCCATAATGGAGCACAGATAACTTCCTCAATTGTATCCCCAAGTGGCAAATGGCAGTTAAAAGCAGAGTGATCTTTGAGAGGGAGGAGTAGGCAACATGGGCCCACATGAGGGGACCCGGTTGTCATAGGACTCCCATGGGCATGGATGGCGTAGTTAGAACAATGGCCAGCAGTGGTTGTTTAGGGTCATATCTCATTATTTGTGCTTGTTGTATGGCCTGTTTAACGTAGTCTAAGGCCTGTTGAGCTTGTGGGGAAAGGACTCGAGGGGATGTGGGGCAGTTTATTTCCATGCTAATTGTTTTAATTAACTGTTGTGCAAACGGGCCTTGAAGGCCGTTTTCCCTAAAGGCTTCTCTCAAGCGTTTAAGAGTGGGATGTTTATGAGGGTACCATCTTAAGGGGCGTGCAGGATTTTGGTGTACATTAATAGGAAACATATCATTTATTTCGGTTTCCCATTGTTCCCAATTTTTTGCTTGACTATCTCTTATTTTATATAATCCTTTGTAATAATCACCCCATTGTTGGGATGGTTTTATTTTAAAATCTCTTTTTGTATGATATTTATCCCATGGATTTTTAGGGTGTGGTGTTATTGTATGGCACTACAGGATAAGCTGGAGGCTCATCCCAGTCAAGTTCCACTTTTATCAAGGGGCAGGGCTTATTGTGTGACAAATAGGAAGTAGCCGGGGCAGGGAGATTTGTTCGGCATCATCAGGGGTGGAGAATTTTCGCTCGGCGCCATCCTTGGTTCTTGTTTTAAGGGGGCGAGTGAGGAGTATATATTGTGTGGCTTAGGCTGGGGAGTCAAGGGTTTTATAGACTTGGGGGTTCTTTTGGCATTTGGTTTGGATGGGAGGGGTACCAACAGGAAGAGGTCTTTTTCGAGCTGTTCCATTAGGGAAGGCTCGGCATCTGGGGCTGCTGCCGCACATGCAGCAGAGTCCGCCAGAAGAGGGAAAGCTTCTGAATCCTCCCCAGTGAGGCTTTTGAGCCTGTTAAGCAAGCTCGGATAGTAAGTAAGACAGGCAGGAGCCCTACGGGAAAGATTTTCCCTTCATGTTGTTCCGCCGTTTGGACCCGCTGGATAAGGCAGGACCATATTTGTGGGTCCCACAGGTTAGCAGTTTTCAGCCAAGGATTAAAGGGAAGGAGAATCCCCCAGTACTGGGAGAGAGTCTTATAAGAGATTTTACAATGTCTAGCCTGTAAGAGAGCAGCAAGGGCCCGTGCCTGCGGGTGCTATTCCTTACGAATCATGGAGCCCATGTTGTGGGCGGGGGCCACTTACCAATTCCCGGGGGACTTGCAAGGTCCCTGTTCCGGTGCCACCTGAGGTAGAACCTCTCGGGTCGAGGGACCTGGGCCCGTGGTGAGCAGCGGTATGGTGAAAAGAGACACCAGAGACCAGGCTGATGGCGCAGATCCACTTTATTGTGGAAGTACCAGGCATTTTATTGAGCAGGCCAGAGGCGTGGCAATGGAGGTGGGCTAGGGGCGAGGTTTGGAGGTGGTACTATTGGTGGGGGGTGGTGTGGAAGTAAGAGGTCAGAGCGGGACAGCCTAGGCAGGGCGACTCACTCGGTTTGCCGAGGACATGACGAGTCTGAGTTTGCTCAGACCCGCTCCTCCACCACGGCTGTCAACCAGACCTCTGGACCCCTTTTTCCCACAGTTGTTTGTACCTTTTGGAATGGTAATGTTTACCTTGTGCTATTGAATGTTGCAAATGTTTAACTTTGTTTTCATTTGTACCGGGGGTCACAGCTAAGAGTTTGTCTTACATCTCAGAGAAGACTTGGTACTTGGACTTTTCAGCAGTGCTGAAACTTAGGCTACTGGCCACTCTTAGAGATGGACTAGAATGTCTTTGGCATAAAAGGATGTACATGAGTCTTTGGGGGGCCAAGGACACAATTTTATGGTTTGTGTCTGGATGTCCCCCCAAAGCCTCATGCAGTCATGGGATGGGCTTCAGGAATTTATGATTGATTCATGGTCCAATGCTGGGATTATGGGTGTGAGTGCTACACCTGCCCTGGGGTGGGTACTTTGCATATAATGTAAGGGAGGGAAAGAGGCTGCTTGCTGCTCCTCCCTTTTTGTTCTTGTTGCTTTTGCTGTTTCCCGCTGCCGTGAACTGTTGTCCTCTGCTATGTGCCACTCTGCCTTGACGCCAAGGAGTATGGACTGAAACCTCCACAAACTGTGAGCAAAGTAGACCTTTCCTTCCTTAATTTTGGATGTTGGGTAGTTTATCTCAGCAACAATAGAAAAGTAACTAAGATGGTGTCCGTGTCTGTCTTGTTATTGGCTTCCCAGTTTGGGAGCAGCCAAACTGAACCATGACTGTCTCATTCACCTGACCATGAGTTATAGCTGTCTCCTTTCCGGAGCTTAAAGAGAATACACTATTAGCACAAGGTCAGGGGGCCATCTTGGTTTCCCAGTTACCCCATTATCTGAGGAACATTAAAGAGTTCAGAGAAATCTCGTAGTAAATGGGAAAAGTTAACTACTTGTTGGAAAACATATTGATGTATTTCTGTATAACAAAGAAATAAATGAGAGGATGGGAGACTAGAATGTGAGGTTTATATAGAAATGGATATTAAAACGGAAATAAAGACAATGCCATTGCAATATTGGCTTTATTAAGTTAATTTACTCCAAAGAATACTGCCTTTATATAGTATACCAAGTTTTTATTTCCCATAATTACAACTGGTTTTGATGAAAATAATTTCCATCAGTAAGCAATATTCATTGAGCAGCGTTGGAACATTTTAACTGTAATGTTTATGGGGTTAAAATATTTGAGAGATAAGGAAGGATCTATGGAGCAATCTATCGAGGGAGCCAGAGGTCTCTCTTTTTGACCAATTTGAAGCATCATTCCAAAGCCAGTTCTCTAAATAGCAAAAAAGGTAGCTGCTTTGCTATGACAAAGACTATGAATGTGAAACTTCATGTGCTTTAGAAATAATAATAAGGTTTAAGCCAGAGGATATAATTGTGATAATTTCTTGGAAATGTTTTAAAATTTGAAGCTACTTAATTTGCCTACTCTCACCTGTGTTATAGGCTTTGCAACATAATGAGTTTTTGGGGCAAAACTTCTGTCCTGGACTCAATACAACAGAACACAGTGACTGTCCCAACTATATAATGTAAGTTCACGTTTATTGTCAAGATGGGTGTACTTTATACTCAACTTTGATAAAGAAGGGGCTCTGGATTTAGAGCTGATATGGGTCCCTTGGGTCAATCTTTCTGAGGCTATGTTTCTGACCTATGAAATGAGTAATTCTGTACTGTTACATGTGAAAATGCTCTGTATGTATTCTATGATGGCCAAAATAGTTTCTAATGTAGAGAAATATTTATGGTGTACTTCTGAAAAACTATTTTTATGTTTTGATTATGGGTTTGTGTTCTTATTTTTTAAAATATTTACCTTTGAAATGGGCTGCTTTGATAGTTGAGGAAAAGCCTATTGTCTCTAAACTTCAGGGTTATATTGTATCTTTGAGCACAGCCTGGGCAGAGTCTTACGATCTAAAAGGGCAGCAATAGCATATGGGAGTGAGTATTGGCCCACCAGGATTGTGGGATTTCCCATTGCCCGAGACCTGTTGGAGATGTCATGAAATCAAAGAGTGCACAGTTTTGTATGTGTGTGTATGTGTGCATGTGTGTACTAACTAGGGTGTATATGCTAATGAAAGAAATGCATATTTCAGTAGATTGAAAAGGAAGTCTCATTTTTGCATAATGTCATTCAAACAGAAACTCATGTTTCCATAAAATTAGGAATATTGCTTTTTTAATACTCTTCTATAATTATTGTTAATGGCATGATTTTGATACAAAAATTAATGAAAGAAAAGAGTGCAGGTATATTAAATATCTCCTGGATTTTCAAGTGGTTTAGGAATGACTAGTCATAACATACATTTGAATTACCAATAGGAAAAACTTATTTCAGGAAAGATTTTATTTTTACCTTGCCCACTCCTTTTTGGTTAGATATAGGTATGGCATTTTGTAACACAGTCCTCTCCAGCCTGCTGGTTAGGAGAAAGTGGAAAGGAAAAGTATAACCAGATAAGGAGAAGCTGCCACACACTTCATGCTTATACAAAGTTAATCCTCGCTAGTAAAGGGAGAGAGCAACTCTTAGCACAGAGACACAAGGTTGTTTTTGGAAGTTCTAACTTCTAAGAGATGCACAGAAGTAGTAGCAGGCAATAATTATGGTGGTACCAGACAACTTTAGTACCAAGCACTTTTCCATTCTGTAGCAAGGTCTCTCAATTCTTCTCTGCTCCAGCTCTTAGCCTAGGTTTGTGTCTGATACCTGGGCCTGATCATAGGATCCTGTAGCTCAGTATCTGCAGTGCTTGTTACAGTCTTATGGCAGAAGCTGATCAAATGTGACTGTCTAGAAGCCCTTGTTCCCATGTACTCCTAGTTTTAGAATTCTTTGCCTGTATTTTTAGGGTTGTCTTGTGGGTGAACACAAGTCCAAGTAGATTTGACCATCTTGGCAAAGACAATAAGTGCAATCAGTTAGGGCTCAGGGTTTCTCCATCAGTGATAAATGAAAGCTTATTTGATAAACATTTCCTTTGTAGAGAGCAGAATTATAGGTTTGAAAGCACGTGACACTGAGGGGGCTAGAAACTGGGTTCCTAGTGTGACTCTATAAACTTAAATATTCCTCATTTTGGTTTTACAGTGAGTGTCCTTGTGATTACACCTGTCTAGTGATTGGCTTTCCAAGTTGGGAACAACCAAACTGAACCCTGACTGTCTTGTTTACCTGAACTCCTCTTTTAAATGTATGTCATATTCAGGTCCCTTCGGTCATTTTAGGGATTACTGTAGTGTTATGGTTCAGATATAGTATGTTCCCCAGGAGTTGCATGTGCTCTGAGATGGGGCTTTTGGAAGGGGATTGGATTATAGGGTGCTGGAGCGACATTGCTGTGAGGTGGGCCTGGTCAGAAGAGGTGGTTCCCTGGGATCCTGACCTCGAAGGGTATATCTGCCTGTCCACCTCCCCCTTTCTCTCTGCTTCATGGTTGCCATGACATGAGCAGCTTTATTCTGCCAGACTCTTCCACCATGTTCTTCCTGGCTTGGAGCAAGCCTAGATTGAAGATGTGAGCCAAAATGAATCTCCCCACCTTTAAATTATGGGTGCCAGGTATTTTTAAAGTCACCCTCATGAAAGTGACTAAGACAAATTTTGGTGCCAGGAAAATAAGGCTGTTGCTATGGCTGTGCCTGGCCATGTGGTTCAGAAGCCCTTGGAACTGGTTCATGGGTGGAGTGTAGAAAGGTCTGGAGATGCCAGCTGGAAAAGCCCAAGAATACTGTAAGCCAAACTTTGATGGGAGATACTAGTCAGAACTCAGAAGACCAGAAAACTGACAGAATGCACATAGTAAAGGCCAGGTTCAGGTTGTTTCATTTGGAAACAGAGTCCCTGGAGGTTGGAAGAGAGACTGTGTGTATGCATTGGCAGAAAATTTGTCTACATTTTGTGCATATTCTAAGACTGAGATTATGGTGGCAGACTAATTAATCTGACAGCAAATTTCAAAGCAGCCCAGTGTTCAGGCTCTGGCAAGAGTACTGCTTGCTACTTTTAGCCAGAACTACAGTAAATATCAGGGGCAGATGGCAGAGCCAAAAGGTATAGAAGCTTTCCAGTTTCATCAGAAAGGAAATATCTGCAAAGTTGAGGCCTGAGAGAGCATGGTTGATAAGAGGACTAGCATTAAAAGCAAGCCAAGTATTTTACATCAAGACAATAGGAAGATGCCTTGAAGCCATCTCAGGAATCAGCAAAACTCCACTCCTTGCAGGCTCAGAGTTGTAAAAGAGTCAAAGTAAACTCCTTTAAGAGTAAAAGTAGCTGGGGATATAGCTCAGCAGCACATGTGCCTGCCTGGCAAGCACGTGGTCCCGAGTTTGATTCCCGGTACCAAAAAAAAGAATAAGAGTGAACTCCTTTGAAAGACTGCTTTGAGAAGAGAGTGCCAGGGAACCCTGCTGAAGAAGGACCACCTAGGGAATTGCTTCTCCAGTATTTGGTTTACACTGTTCAGCCATCCAGGCACATAGAAGCCTTTGGAGCTATGACCTAGGGAGGTCCAGCTACTGCTTCAGCTGGTAGAAGAGCTTGGCATCATCCATGTGGTTCTTGTTATAGGCATACCAAATGCAAGCTGTATAGTCGTGGAGGTTACCACCCAGATTTCAGTAGGCTTGTGAGGCCAAGCACTGTGTCCCTTAGAGGCCAGTATGTAAAGCTATGAGAGTGAAAACAAAAGTGCAGTGGGGAGCCCAGGAGTGTGAAGACACTAGGAATGTGTCATGTCTGCTAAGAAATGCTGTAGGCAGTGACTGGAGCCACCCTAAGGACGAGATCTTTAGGGATACCACCAACAATCCCAGAGGGGCAGGGCCTCCTCAGCCATTTGGAACTCACACAACACCACAACTTTCCATGGGTGCTGTGCACAGAGGTACAGGACTTAATGTTTGCTCTACTGGGTCTCTGTCTTGCTTTGGTGTGATTCCTTTCTATCCCCCGTTCCTCCCTTTTGGAATGGGACTGTTTACCCTGTGGCATTGTATATCAGTAATATAACTTACTTTCTTATTGTTAAAGGGGTTCATAGCTAAGAGTTTATCTTAGGTCTTAGAGGAGAATTTGGTCATGGACTTTTTAGCAATACTGGAACTGATGAGACTTTGGCAACTCCTAGAGATAGACAAAATGCATTTTGCATAAAGAGATAAACATGTATCTTTAGGGGAGATGTTTAGAGGCAGAATGTCATCATTCAGATCCAGAATATCGCCAAAAGCCTCATGTTTGTAAAGCGAGTTATAGCTAAATGTGCTATTAGGAGGTAGGGCCTGGTCAGAAGAGGCTGGTCACTGGAGGCATGAGCTGGAAGTGTCTGTCTCCCTCTCCAGCTCATCCCTACTCTGTTTCCTGGTCACCTTGATGGAGCAGCTTTTATTCTATGCCCCTCTACCATGCTCTTTCTACCTTGGAACTAGACAAGCATGAACAGAAAATAGGAACCAAAATAAACCTTTCTTCTTTATGTTGTGAGTGCTAGGTACTGTAGTAACTAAGACATTTAGCTATCTGGTGAAGTTGTTTAGTATAGTATCCAGCAAAACTGTAAATACTCAGTGTCAATTGTTCCATACAAAAGGGATAGCAACTAACAGGGTGACTAACCTATACACTTATTTCAGAAATAAACTGAATTTATTGAAAAGAACTTGGCAGATGCAAGGATTGAAGTTACATTCTCATTGTGTTAAATTTCAGATGCGCAGGCGAAGAGTTCTTGACAATCCAGGGCATTGATGTCTCACCTTGGGGACTGTGGCAGAATCTTCTGGGTTTGACTGTAATGATGTTTTTCTTCCTCTTTATTACCTTCCGAAAATTGTCAGGTCTTATAAAACATTCCTAATTTTCCCTTAAATGTATTGTGAATTATCATCATATTAAAAAGGAGCTCTTCTATTTACTTTAAATCCAATAATGATTTTGTGTTCTCTAAAGTTCATTTGCCATCACACTGGTGCTCACCAAATGTCATTTCAATAGAACCATCCACAAATGTTGCAATAACCTCAATTGTAGGTGGAAGAACCCAAGCCAAAAACCAATGACACTATGTATGGCACATTAGTTCATTGTATCAGACAATACCCAGGGAGAGGAAACGAGTCTAATTTCCTGAACTGAAAAAGGAGAATTCAATTCTAGAAACACATGACAAGCTACTAATACCACTGGAATCAGTTGTTGAAATGATATTTTAGAAACAATGAAGCAAAGAAGCACATTAGTAGAGGCTCCCTTCCCACTGAAAGACCTCCCTTTCCTGCTGCTTGCTGTTGCTCCAAGGGAACTAGAAAACACGTAAACGCTGATGCAAGCTTCATCTCAGGTTAGACACGATGGCAAGAAATGCTTCCTGGGGCAGGAGACATTCCATGCTGACACGAAGCAGGCCTTCCTGAAGCCCACACCTTTCAGAGCATAACGCCCTTCTTCTCAGATGCTGCACCAGAGAGCACCATAATTCCCACTCTTTTCAGTAGTGAGTGAAGCGCAGCTCCAAGCTCCTCCACTTGTTTCATCATTCATCCTCCCTTGAGTACCATAAATATTTATTGAGAGCCTGTGGGAGGTAAGGCTCTTTTCTCAGGACTGATGCCACAGCCATGTCTAACACTTCAAAACTGTTTTCCTAGCCTTATGAAGTTGTCATGTGGTAAAGAGATAAACAGTTAACCATAAAGAGTCAATTAATTCCTTAATTGTAGGCAGACGAGTTCTATAAAGATAAAATGGAGCTAAAATCCAAATTACTGACTTATATGAAGGATCTGTGAAGGCTTCTTTGATGACGTAGTGTTATGCCTGAGATCTGAAGTATGGTAGGAATTTGGAATTTATTTATACTGTTGGTCTCAGAACAAAGAATTTGCTTTGATAATTTCCAGTAAAATTTGCTCTTCAGAGCTAATGAAAAAAAGTTCTAGCTTAATAACTAATGTAATACCTTAATAATATGTTATTAAGATGCTTAATAATTAAGATGCTTAATAAGATGCTTAATAACTTCTTTTATGATGCCAACGAGGAATATCCTTTGTTCCATCTTCCTTCTGAAATGGTGGGAAGGTAAGAAGCCAAGGGTAGAGAGAGAACTATTTCAATTCTAATATTTAACATCTATGAACTAATAATTTTTTGTTTTATTGGTACTGGGGATGGAACACAGGGCCTAACATAGCATCTCCTAGGGGACCAGGACCAACTGAGCATGATTTAGGAGGGACTTACACCTTTGTGCAGCACGAGAGGCCACCTCTAGCCTGAAGCAGAGGTGCAGGGCTTCTGGTTTTGACATCGCTCTGCTTGGACTCTGCCTTCTCCAGCAAGTAATGTGGGGCAAGTGCGTTAGCTTCTTCTGATTTAAGTGTGCTCATCTGTAAAGTGGGGATAATAATAGTGACTCACGGTGGATGCAAGGATGAAGAAAATTTTGCATGTTAAAGTCTAAAGTGTTTGCTGGTATTTGACTTTTATTATTACTATTAGCATTATTTTTACTGGCAGTTTAGCCAAGATTTTCTTGAATTTATTCAAAATAAGTAAGTGAAAATAAAGCTCTGAGTTTTGCACCTGGCCACTCCCCCCACTCCCTGTATTATTTTGAGAAACCCACCAGCGTTTGGGTCTATATTACATATATCGCACTGTCACTTCCATGCTCAGAGTTGGCTGAGGCTCTCTTCACCTATCACTGTGCTTAGCATTACGTCTTTTTAAATGTCACTTTCACTAAACTGAGATTCTAGACCACAGAGGACCTAACTTTGGTGTTTGATGTATATTCCCTGAAAGAAATGCTTCAGTTCCTATGTTCAGATCCTGTGTTTGACATCATAGGAACTTCACTTGAAATTACTATACAAGGCCTATGACCACAGTGCCCTTTGCCTATGAAATCATCCTATCTGAACTAGTTTGAGCTCAGAGAATAGCATTTTTCTCATTCATTGATTCGGGGATTTTTCCCTAATATTAAGCATTTATAGATTCTGGTAACCCACAGAACTAGAGTATGCAGAAGAAAAAAGTTCTCACTTTGAAGAATGAGATCTTAGTATAAATACAGAGTTTTGCTTTCTAAACAACACAGAATTACACAGAAGGCATCATTCGTGCATGGTCCCCTCACAGCAGCAGCAAAGAACCTCTGGCTAATAAAGGACCAGCTCAGGAAACTGGGAAGAAAGTCCCTAAGGTTCAACGGGGAAGACAGAGTCTGGACTTTGTTCTGTTGGGTCCCACCATTTGCAAAAATTTTCAAAAGAAGTGAAACTCTCCACACCTCCAGTTTGGTGCTATCAAGTCTACATTTCTTCATTTAGCCAATAATCACCTCCTCACCCCAGTGGCTGTTTGTAAGTACTATGGGTGCTACAGTAAACATAGCAAATCTCTGCTAATGTACACCTTACACTCTGGCAGTTTTACAGAGTACGCGAGTATTCTTTACTTACACACAAAGTGGTCATTCTACCGAAGTGAGTGATCCTTCTTACCTCTCCAACTGTGTGGTTACAACAATAAGGTCATAACGAGCTAGCTATCAAGATGTTACCACCTTGGGGCTGGGGATTTAGCTCAGCGGCAAAGCGCCTGCCTGGCAAGCGCAAGGTCGTGAGTTCGGTTCCTGGTACCGGAGAAAAATTACAAAAAAAAAAAAAGATGTTACCACCTTGTATGACAAAAGCAAAGTATGCCAAAAGGCCTGCAAATATCCCAATTTCAGATGTCAGGTCTTTCTGCATGTTAATGAGTCTTATCCATGTTCTCCCTCATTTCTCTGGGTGATTTATTTTCATGCAATCTAGATAAGAAATTTATCACAATGTTTGTCATCTGCTTCTTTTAACAGGAGGGTGTTATCCTAAAAAGTTAAAAATTTGGCCGTCAGCAATAGTATGACTCTTTCTATGAATTTATTTTGTTTGTGAATATATTCTAGTCTTCATGAAGTAATATTTAAAGATTGCATTTACTTTTTTATTAATGGTGCTTTATATTTCTAATACATAAATGGTATTCTAACATAGAAGTTGGGTTTTTTTTTCAAAGCCAATTAATTTTGAATTTTAAAATTTCCCTTAGTTATGAAAATTTCACCTAGGTGAATTGATAAGCAATTGAATTATGATTATAGAAAAACATAAAAAATACTCAACTACTTCCTGTTACAAAAATAAGTACACCAAATTATTGAGATATAAAAACTCAGTGCTGAAATTTACTTTGAATTCTACTCATTATCTTTTCCTATAGAGTTTAATGCAGGGCTAAATAAAAATCCCAGTTCATCCATCATAGGTTGAAGTTTTATAAGGACAATAGGCATAGAATACTAAAACAAAAACAGCAACATCCTTAAATCAAATAATTTTACACATTCAAAAGACCAGTACAATAATTACCAAGCATGTACTTTACTTTTTTTCTTGTACAAGAGCTATTCAGTTTTATTCTAATTTAATTCCTGTATTGCCTAAGGCCAGCAGAGTTCAGCAAAGTGAAAGGAAATTAAAAAGGCAACAGGGCAATAGGGTGGCAGAGTCCCCCAAAGAAGTTTTATCCTCAGAAGATAAAGAAACTCAGTTAAATGTTGCAGATGAGCCATTTGAAAGTTAAAATAAAGAAAAAGGCAAAAACTCAAATGGTATGGATTCCCAAAAGTAGTAAACTTTCAAAAACAATTATTTTAATGTTTTTTAGGCCAAAAACCTCAATGATGTCTAAGAAATACTCTCACATTATTTGCTTCTGTCCGTTAAGTCAGACTTCTTTCATCTATATACTGCCTGCACTCTGTTGTCTGAAATAATTAAGAGTGTATAGTTTTAAGATTACTAGTTGCATTTCACAACTCATTTTTTTTAAAATATCTAATTGCACACCTATTTTCAGTACATCTCTTTAGACTCAATACTTGTTTCAGGTAAACTTATGAGAACCATTTATAACTTCTGATTAATCCGTATTGTCAGTGGACTAGAAATGACATTAGTATTGTATTGCTTTTAGAGCTATGAAATTGTAAAGATTTGTTTACATATATGTTTATGTATATACATGTCTGTATGTGTATAGCTCCTACTTAAAATACTAGTTTATTTCATGTTAGATTCAAAATAACAGTGATCCTAAAACTGCCTGATTTGATGAATTTTTTGCCTCAAGATTTTCTTGCAATTAGGGCAAATTCCAGGTGCTTTTTAAAAATAAAAAATAATAGAAAA